ACTGTCAGAGCTGGGAGGGCCCTTTGAACCCAGAATGCCAGAGCTGGTTCCCATAGAGAGTTTCTCATCCAAATTCTTTCTCTCAATCTCCAGTCTTCATTGTACTCTTGCTGTATGTCCATCCCTGTGTTGTGCTATACCAGGGAGCACAGAAGTGTGCAATGTGATCCCTGCCCTTGGGGAGCTTCTAGTCTAGTAGGGATGACAGGACACTCAGAAGTGCACATGAAATGATTGGATTCCATAGGATACCATGTGATCAAAAGCTCGACAATGGTGTATTGCAGTCCCTAAGGGCTACAGGAGTTCCTTTGGAGAAGTAGTGTAGTAAAGTGGTTAGAGAACTCAACTTGGATTCAGGAAGACCAGAGTTCAATTCCTGGCCCAGATGCTGACTACTTGTGTGACCCTGGACAAGCCACTTAACCTTTCTTAGCCTCACTTTCCTCATCTGTAAAATGAAAGGGATTGGACTCATTGACCTCTTAGGTCCCTTTCCGTGTCTAGATTTAGAGATTTTTGACTCTGGTCCAGGGCAAGTCAATTGACCTCTCTCTGTCTCAGTTTATTCAGCTGAAAATGGGAATATTAATAGCACCTACCTCACTGGGTTGCTGTAAAATTCAAATGAGATAAAAAATGTATATATGTAAAAATATATGTGTATATAGATTATATTCACTATAAGTGCATACAGTATGTATATGGCTAGCTACTCCAGACCACACTGATCTCTGAATAATATTATTAATAATAATGGCTAATATTCACATGTGTTACATATATGTGTGTATGTGTGTATCTACATATACACATATACTATACACATATATACAGTATACATACATATCTATATACAGTACATACCTATACACAGTATGTATGTATATATATACACACCCACACACACACATACATACACACATACATACATACATACATACATACATACATACATACATACATACTCTGGGGAGCTAGGTGATTCAGTAGCTAGAGCTCTGGACCTGGAGTCAAGAAGCCTTGAGTTCAAATCTGGCCCCAGACTTTTACTAGGTGTGTGACCCTGGGCAAGTCACTTAACCCCAATTGCCTAAAAAAAAATGAGCTAGAGAAGGGAATGGCAAATCATTTCAGTATCTCTGCCAAGAAAATCCCAAATAGGGTCATGGAAAGTCCAACAGGACTGAAAAATGACTGAACAACAACAACATATATACGATATATATATATATAT